GGGCGCCATGTGCTGCTTTCCTGTGCTGAAGTATCTCCACTTCTCTGCACTCCCAGCTTTGCATGCAGCTGTCAGCACCCTCCCCCCCACCAGCGCATGGCAGCGGTGCTGAGTATATAGATGGGGGTGGCTGCCACATGTGAGCTCTCACATCACCACCATGCACCCAGGGTTGGGGGGCGTGTTGACAGTCGGTTGGACACAAAACTGGCAGTGTGGAGAAGCGGGGATACTTGGGTACAGGAAAAGTGCCCAGCAGTGACATGAAGTGTATAGATGGTGGTGGCTGCATGTGAGCTCCCCACGCCACCGGTTTCTCATCTGGCTGTTTATCAGCACACCCCACCCACTCCGCATCCGGATGTGGTACCCACTGGAAGGGGTACCCACCAGAGGGGGTACCCTGCTTCATAAAGATTAAAAATCCCTGCCCTGATTAAAAGGAGCAGTCTCACAAAGGAGCAGGGCAGGTTGGGTGTGGCCCAGTGAGAGGCAGCATGTAAGAGGCCCAGTGAGAGACGGCCAAGTGGAAGAGTACCCAGTGAGAGGGGAGCAGTATGAATGAGGCCTGATGAAGTGGAATGAAAGGACAAATGCATAAGGCCTAGCAAGGGGCTGAGTTTGTCCCAGCCATGAGCTGGAGTAAAGAACAGCTCAAGGATGCCATCTGCGAGGCATGGGACATGAAAAGGGAAGGTCGGAGTCATGTATAGTGCTCCCTGGCATTGGGGCATTAAAATGGTCAGACTCCTGTGTGTGTGTGTGTGTGTGTGTGTACACACACCAGTTTTGATAAAAGCAAAGTCATGGCAAGCGAGACTGCCCTACTTAGACAGGATTCATAGTTTCATAGTTGGTAGGGTCAGAAGGGACCTGAGCAGATCATCAAGTCTGACCTGCTTCCATGGGCAGGAAAGAATGCTGGGGTCAAATGACCCCGGCAAGGTGATTATCTAGCCTCCTTTTGGAGACCCCCAGCGTAGGAGCAAGCACCACTTCCCTTGGAAGTTAGTTCCAGATCCTAGCCACCCTGACTGTGAAGTAGTGCTTCCTGATGTCCAGCCTGAACCTACTCTCAGTCAACTTCTGGCCATTATTTCTAGTTACTCCTGGTAGTGCTCAGGGGAACAGGTTCTCTCCCGTTCCCTGCTGGTCCTCCATGATAAGTTGATAGACGGCCATCAGATCCCCTCTCAGCCTTCTCTTATGGAAGCTGAACAGGTTCAGGTCCCATAGCCTCTCCTCATATGGTCTGCCCTGCTGCCCCTTGATCATGCAAGTGGCCCTCCTTTGGACCCTCTCGATGCTGTCCACATCCCTCCTGAAGTGTGGCACCCAGAACTGGATGCAGTACTCCAACTGTGGCCTGACCAATGTCGCATAGAGGGGGAGGATCACCTCCTTGGACCTGCTTGTGATGCATCTGTGGATGGAAGACAAGGTGCGGTTGGCCCTATTGACCACGTCCTCACATTGGCGGCCCATGTTCATCTTGGAATCAATAATGACTCCAAAGTCGTGTTCTGCCTCTGTGCTGATGAGAAGGGAGTTCCCCAGCCTGTAGGTATGTTGCTGGTTCTTCCTCCCCAGGTGCAGTACCTTGCACTTGTCAATATTGAATCCCATCTTATTCTCATCCGGCCACCCCTGTAACCTGTCCAATTGCAGCCTGTCCCTCCCTTCGCTGATGAATATATTGAACAGTGCGGGCCCAAGGACCGAGCCCTGGGGAACCCCACTGCCCACACCACTCCAGGTTGAAAACTAGTCATCCACCACCACTCTCTGGGTGCAGCCCTCCAGCCAATTTGTGATCCATCTGAATGTGTAGGCATCGACACCACAGTTGCCTAATTTTTTGATGAGAATGGGGTGAGACACAGTGTTGAAGGCCTTCCTAAAGTCCAGAAAGACTATGTCCACCATGACACCTGCATCCAAGGATTTTGTGACCTGGTTGTAGAAGGCCACCAGGTTGGTCTGAGAGGACCTACCTCTAATGAACCCATGTTGGTTTCATCTAAGCATAATCTCCCCTGCTGGTCCCTCACAGATGTGCTCCTGGATAATTTTCTCAAAAAGCTTCCCTAGGACCAAGGTAAGACTAACAGGCCTATAGTTTCCTGGGTCCCCCTTCCTCCCTTTTTTGAAAATGGGGACCACATTGGCCCTTTTCCAATCCTCTGGCACCTCGACAGAGCACCATGAGTGCTCATAGAGCTGTGCCAGTGGTCCTGCAATGTAATCTGCCAATTTCCTCAGCACCCTTGGGTGGAGATCACCTGGACATGCCAATTTGAAGACATCCAGTCCCACCAGAAGTTCCCTGACCAGGGCCTGGCTGTGCCTCTCCTGAGTTCATCTGGGATTCCTGTGGGGGAGGATGTCCCGGTCCCTGCTCAGAAATATAGAGGTACAGAATTTGTTAAAGAGGTCAGCTTTATCATCTGGTGCAACCACCAGATTGCCAAGTGTGTCCTGCAGGGGCCCCACATTACCCAGTACCTTCTTTTTACTCCCTATGTATTTAAAAAAAGACTTCTTGTTATCTTTGATCCGGGTCGCTAGTCCCAGTTCTGTGTCCACCTTAGGCTTCCTAATAGCCTCCCTGCAGTCTCAAGCAATGGAGGTATAATCCTCCTTGGTGATGGTCCCTCCCTTCCATTGGGTATACACCTCATTTTTAGCTTTCAGACAATCCTGAATGCCTTTGGTGAGCCATGGGGGTTTTTGCATTGGGATTGTCGCCCTTTGGGCTCAGAGGATCACCTCCTCTTGGAACTTCCAACTCCCCTCCCCTCCGGGACCTCAGTGCCTCCCCAACTAATCCCCTTTATTCATTCAAAACAGCCCTACTGAAGTCCAGGGCTGCTGCATTGCTGTAGGCCTTTGACACCCTGCGCTGCATGGTGAATTCCAGTAGGTGATGATCGCTATCGCCCAGGTGGTTGAGAACTAATGATCACTATCGCTCAGGTGGTCAAGAACCTGCAGCCCCCATCACCAGGTCGTTGCCTGTGGCTAGAACCAGGTCCAGCAAGGCATTCCCCCTGGTGGGACTGTGCATCTCCCGGGTTAGGTGGAGGTCCTGTATCTTGGCTAGGAACCTATGTGAGCAGTCAGACCTAGCTGACTGCTCCTCCCAGCAGATGTCTGGGTAGTTTAAGTCACCCATGATGACCATGTCCCTTGACTTAACTGCCACTACGAGCTGACTTGAGAATTCCTGGTCCAGCTCTTCCCCCTGGTTGGGTGATCTGTAGTAGACACCCACTGTTAAGTCCCTTTCCCCCCGACCCCCTTGTATTCAAAGCCAGAGCACTTCAGTCTGCCCCTCCTCTGACCCTGTGCTGTTTGTTGAGGATGTGTATTGCTCTTTGACATAGAGTGCCACACCCCCACCTTTCCTCCCCGTTCTGTCCTGCCCGTATAGTCTGTAGCCCTTGATGTTTACCGCCCAGTCATGGGTTGAATCCCACCATGTTTCAGTGAGCCCCACTCTGTCCGGGGTTGTGTTAGCTAGCAGGAGGGCAAGTTCCTCCTGCTTGTTCCCCATACTGTGTGCATTAGTGTAGAGGCATTTAAGGCCTCCTGTGGGTATATGCTCCACCCTCCTGAACCAAGGACTATCCGGACCCCTGCCACTTACCTGGGTACTTTTTGTGCTTGTCACCTGTCGTGGTTGGGAAGCATCTTCATTTCCCCCTGTGGCCCCATCCCTGGGGTGGGTGGGCCAAAGTTGAGACCCTGCCCCAGGCATGCCCTTGTCACACTATGACTGGAGTAAGAGTTCCTCCTTCCCTGAGTAGCCAGTAGCCTGATGCCTAGAGCACTGTTCTTTAAGGTTGGCTTGACAGAGGAAGGAATTGAGCTGAGTTCTCAGTCCACTGGGTTACTTCATAAAAGGGCACCACCTCTAGTGCCAACAATCTTATGACTATAGCAGCTCTTCATTTTGTTTCTGTCATTTTGGGGTTGTTGTTTTTTCTTTTTTTAAAGTATCCAGGTATCGTATACAAAATAAAATTTAATTTAAAAAACTTTTAAGTTTTTATTTTTTCAAGAAAAAATAAATAAAGTTCACTCAGAGTCTATTACAATTTTTTTTTTAATTTTGTTCAGTAACCAGATTGGTTTCCTGGCAGTTATGAAAAGTTGCAAAAATATTACAGGTTGGAACAAGACACTTTGTTAAGACTTAGAATATTTTTTAGCATTAGAAAATGTCAAAACAAGTTTGCTGTTTAAGGTGAACAATTTGGTGAAACTAGTGTGAATTTGCAAAGTGTTTTGGTGTTATCAAATTAGTATGTTTTGCTTAGGAGAAAAAAATGTGAAAAATAAAATTGCTCTGAATTCATCTGGAGGTCCCATTTGTGGACTTTTCTAGGCATTGTATAAGCATAAGAAAAATATTCTCTTTGTGCAAAAGAGCTTGCAGTCTAAGTACTCTTTCCTGTATGAAAATACTCTTTCCTGTATTTTTAAAAAAAATATGCTTATTTATCTTTGAAGGGGGGAGTATATATTAAAATATAGCAAACACGTTTAAGAAATTTTGTTTTTTGAATGAAAAAATAATTTTTAAATGTAATATGACTATGACCCTGAACCATGTGAAGTGTTTAAGATCTGGATTTGAACTGTTTGGCTTTGGACCTCCCTGAAATTTAATGTACTGTTATTCATCTTGGGTTTTAAAAATGTGTTTAAAGAAACTTTCTATTTCTCCTTCATTAATACCAATAGAGTAGACTGTCCACTTCCTGCTGTTAAATAGTAGGAATTTTTTTTGCCTCTACTATATTGCTGTGAAAGCAAGAACAGCTTCGGAGAGTCAAGCTGATTTGTTCTGAAGTAAGTACTAGATAATGGGTGCCAGGAGAATTTGTTGCCTGGAAGATTCTTCATGACATGTTAAGATGGCAACAAAACTGAATGACATGATAGACGATTAAGAAAACAAAGTAACTGTGGCAGACGATTTCTTTTTGTTTCAGACTTTTGGTATCTTTTCCTTTTCTATCATGGTTAAATACCAGAAGGCAACAATGTCTAAGGCAACAGTTTTGCTGCCTTTGCTGAGCCTGAGCATGACTGTAGAACTGGGCAGTGCCCATAAACAATGGAGTGCTTTCCGGGGAATGTTTAAAAGGATCAAGTATGCTACACCATCAAGAGGAGACCCAGGGCAGTCACTTTTCCTTACTCCTTATATTGAAAGTGGAAGAACTTAGTAAGGTAGGAACAACTTTATAAACTACCTGCCTAGAAATATGGCATTTTTCTAAGATTTTAGTATCACTTCTTAACTTGTACTGATGACTTAAGTGTCCACTACCTGTTATGGAAATGTCAAGCTATAAAGAAAGAGATTAGAGAATAAGGCAACAATACAAGTGTAATGAATTGGTCATTTGACAAGTGTAAGTATCATTAGTTGTGATGGTACATAAAATGCTAGTAAAATACTGTAGAATAGTTTTCTTGAAAGTAATGAATTCTCAGAAAATTAAGGCTCTACTACAGTCTCTGTTATTAAAGTGGTCTGTAAAGTAGCAACATGGAAGAATAAGACTTATGGCATACATTTAGCAGGAAAGCTTTTATCCTCTCTCATTTTAGCAATTCAAAAACTGTTCACCCTGTTTACATTAGTGCACAGATGTTTAATTTTACTAAACTGCTTCACCTTACAAGAAGAGGTACATTTTGAGAGAAGGCCAACTTTAGAAAACAAACTTCTATGTTTTTATCCTTTTCCTATCTCTCTTTACTGCTTTTTAAGTATTGAATGAGCCTTCTTCAACCGAAAAGCTGTGATTGCTCTACATATGATCTGGTAGGCTTACAGTAAATTCAGAGCTGAGGTGAGAACTTGAGCAGAAGTTTTACAATTTTCTTATGGCTAGAGATGGTCAGGAATATGAAATGTCCTTGAAGCTTTTCACAAAGCTTCAGTGTGAAACCCTGTAGCTTATAGAATCCAGCCAGGAGCCTAAAATTTAGGGAGAGCACTTTTCACTTCTCGCACCCTGAATCAAGAACCAAGAGCTCATGATGCTTGCTTTCATTTTCCATGGTATCTTCTGTGTCAACATAGACAATTTCAGGGGTGGATCCAGGATTTGTTCCACTGGTGTGGACAGACCACATTGTGGAAGACTCTGGGGAGTTTTTAAAGTCCCCAGAATAGGTAAGAATCTACTCTCCCTTCCCCTTCCTGCTCAGAGTCATGTCCTCTCCTCTCCCCTTTCCCTGGTTCACAACTGCTGCTTTCTCTGCTGTCCTTGGGATGCAGATGAAGCTTCAGAGTCTCTCCTACCCACTCCAGCCAAGCTACATAGGGTCTGAGCTCAGCTGGGGCAGAAGTGTTGGGGTGGGGGGTTCCCCCTACCCTGCCTGGTCCCTCTAGGCGCAGGGAGAGGGAACTCCCCACCATGAATTGCTGCTGCCACTATCCCAGCAGAGCCCAGCCGCTTTGCTGCCTGGCTGGAGTGGGAAGGAGCAGCTCCAAAGCTGCCCATGCCCTGGGACAGCATGAAGAGCAGCTGTGTCATGTGGGAGGGGTGGGTGGGGGGAAGGGAGAGTACATGATTATGAGTACAGAGAGGAAGTGGAGGGATTAAAAGCTTCCCAAGGTATGGTCCAGTCCAAAAAGGGGGTGCAGCTGTGTCACTGCATCCCCTCTGGATCCATCTCTGGTTTTCACCACACTTCCATTCAGGAGCAGTTCTGGGAGGTCTGGGGGGCTATTGCCACCCCAAAATTCACCTTAACCCCCCTGCAGCCACCCCTTCCAGAGCTGCCCCTGTCCAAGCCCCCTGCCTCTGCCTTGGCCCACCACCATCTGCCCCACGCACCCTGCTCTGGCCCACAGCTCGCAGCCTGTGGAGCCCATGTCCTGCCTTTGCTCAGCCCCACAATTTTCTGTCTCGCCCACCTCAGTACCCGCACAGGGAAGAGGCTGGGGCTGCCTCTGTTTCCATTCTAGAGGGCTGGAGAAAGAGTGGGCTTCGTCAAACAAAGAAGCTTGCTGGTGGTGTTTGCTGTAGGAGGGAGTGTTCTGAACTTACCCTCCTTGATCTCCTCTTTTGTGAGGAAAAGGACCAGCAAGTTCCAGTGACTTATGAAACTGGATAGTATATATCTTTCTTAACGCTTATTTGAATTGTGTATCGTTCTTTAGGAAGGCGGTTAAGTTTGGTGGGTCTTCTCCCAGGAGCAAATGTGATGAGTTACTCTGGCTATCTCACAGTGAACAAGATTCATAACAGCAATCTCTTCTTCTGGTTCTTCCCTGCTCAGGTAAAGTTACTCTGTGATATGCCATGAGAGATGTTCCTTCCTGCACAGCCTAAAAAACCACCAGAGAAATAACTCCTTCCTTGATGGCCTTGCTCTTTGCTTTCATAATAGAAAGCTGACATTTTAGAATAACACCACTGTACATTAGATATCAGGCATAGTGCAAGACACACCAAGGGTACTAAGTGTTAGTGTCTATTCAGCTGTGCCCAAACTACACAATATCTTCCTCTTTAGAGGTTTGCTTCCCTGCATATTCAAACTGATTGTGGGTTGGCTTGAATTTTCTGCAGGTTGGCTTATAAAGTTGAAAAAGATCCCAGATCAGCTTGTGAATGTATATCAAACTTGTGCAATGTGGAGAAACTATGCCCTAGGGGCTTTTTCTAATTTAAGCAGCTTTCTAGAAAACAGGTGATTGCAGGAATGAAAAGGTTATCAGGACTTCACTTTCCTTGTTGCAAATTTCCCCTGGCTAATTATATATTCTCAGTGTTATTCTCTTCTTTATCATTGGTCTCACTGATGTCTTTTATAATTTGTCATCTTCTGTCTCTTCCTCTTTCTGTCCCCTTCTGAGCCTTGAGAATTGTCCTACTAGGGTTTAATTATAACTATTAGGTCATATATAAAATGGAAAGCTTGTTATTATTCTCCAAAAACTGACAAACCATTTTTTAAAGGAAAAGTCCTCATTTAACTTTTTGACCTGACTATTTATTCACACCTTGCTTTGTTCTGCTCCAAGTGTGTATTAGGGTACAGAATCATTCATTTAATGTTTTGAGATTGCAGCTTCTCCCTATATCCCTGAGGACGGAAGTACAGTGAAGAGCCAATTATCTAAACTAATTGGGACCAAAATCTGTTTATAAAAGCAAACGCTTTAGTTACTGAAACATTTTATTAGATAGGTATTAATATACATATACACACTTTTTCAGTTTGTTGATCATTTCAAGTTGTTCTTCAATTGTTAAAGCACTGCTCTTTGTTTTAGTCATCTTGTACTCTTGTACCACATGGTTTGGCAGCACATTCTGTGTTCATATAACTATCGGATAGTTTGGATAATTGGCACTCTACTGTATGTTGTTTAACCACTGGCATTTTTCAGACTGTTAGCAAGACAAATCTCTTGTGAGGATGTAAAATGTGTGGTCCAAAGTGTGTAAAAAACCCCCAACAAAACAAAATGGAAAAACCTCAAAAACAAACAAACAGACAAACAAAACCCCCCAAACCAACCCCCGCCAAAACAAACAGCCCCCTCGCCCCCCACCCCGCTGCCTCACCGTTATCACCGGTGTCTGTGGGCTCGCCCCTGCTCGCCACCCCCAACACTGCCGCCGCTGTCTGCGGGCGGTCCCACTTGCCACCAATGCTGCTGCCTACAAATGGTGTCCCCGCAGTCTCGGGAGGCACCAGTCATTCATGTCTGAAAGGCTATTATTGTGCTGTACTAGTTTAATTCAGGATTATGTCTTCATGTGGAAATACCAAGTCATGTTACCAGGATTAGATTTGCTCAGGTTCCCAGAGCAAAAGCCTTTGCAATATAGTTAATGGAATGATATTAAGTAGTGAATTGGATTAATATTAGGAGACTTGCTTATCCAGACCTGAACAACTATTGACAAAAGGTTAACATGTCTGCAAACACTTGATGTTTTTACATTTAATACCGTCATTGCATAGCCACTGGCGGTAATATTTGAATGCTTGTAGTGCACGGGTCAGGTCCCGGAGGACTGGAAAAGGGCCAATGTGGTCCCCATTTTCAAGAAGGGGAGGAAGGAGGACCCAGGCAACTATAGGCCAGTCAGTCTCACCTCCATCCTTGGCAAAGTCTTTGAAAAAATTATAAAGGCTCACATTTGCGAGAGCCCGGCAGGA